AAGGTTTACTTACTCAGCGATTTTACAGCAGAAAGGTAGTCTACATGTAGGCGCCAATCAAAACAACAGCTAGATTTCTCAGGTTAGGCTATCAAAGCAAGTATTTCGGTCTTTTTACTACATAGCATAGAACTTGAAGTAGCATGCCTTGGAGATGCTTTACTCCAGCGGGACCTGGCCAGCTTACCATAGAATCCACTATGAATCATACTTTATATTAGAGGGCGCTTGAGAAAAAAAAAGAGAGAGAGCATCTGTAAAAAATTAAAGCTGAAAGGGAAACTGGGCCTTGCAACATAACAATGACCCAAAACATACCAGTAAATCTGCTACAGACTGGTAGAAATGGAAATTCCTGGGCTGTGTCACAGCATAGATCCTGATCTCATTGAAATGTCCTTAAATCGAGCATAAAATGTGGGAAACCCTTCAAGCATATTACAGTTGTAGTGTGAGAGTGGGGCAAACTTATCTCAGGCTGATGTCTAACTCTTTAGTAATTCATAATATTTTACTACAAATTTGATGGTTGTTGTTTTTTTCTTAAATTAATGATTATTCTAAGAACATTCTTTTTGTCACATGACTCTATTTTGAGTTTTCATTAACCAGCACTCCAGTTGTTGATGAAAAAAAAATTTAATGATGTAATTATCTAAAAAAAACTGATAGTTTAATAGTTTGCAGTTTGTTTAATTGTATCAGATTGCTCTGATATAAAAATAATAAATAAATAAAACTGATATTTACAACAGATTTATTTCCATGTAGTTGCTGTTTTAGTTGCTTTAGTTGTTTTAGGAGGGGGGAGGGAGTAAAGTAACAATGTCAACATTGTGGTTGGTTTCTTATGGCATCCACAGAGTAGGGGAATATGTATTATAATGGAATTTATCAGTTATCAACCATAATTGTAATGTTATTATTAGTAATTGATAATGACCAAGACAGCATAATGGTATGAAACTTGAGAACAATTTTGTTAAGTGGCAAAAAGGTGCATATGTATTTAAAAAGTTCTTGTCTACAGGCAAACACTAAAACAAAATTATAAAAGTGTAAAGGTGTTTGGGCTGATTTAAGACAGAATATTTATATAATCTAAATAAGTCAACTATCTCTGTTTTTTACGTTTAAATAAAGACAGTGAATGGCCAAATGGTCCAAATGCTATGAAAAGGCTGAGCTTAGATTTTTTGCTGGGAAGGAATAATTAATCCTCATCCAAATAACACATGTCTTTAGACAGCAGGGGAAACTGCAGAACCGGACGAAATCCCCAAAATGTAACAGTGGAAGTTGTTACTACTGGACTGATATTTAAGCCAAAGATATCCTTTTTATAAGAGTAGACAGCTAACCACCGTAGCACCATGTTGATTCCTAGATTTGTTTTCTTTCATATGCTAACAGAAAAAAACTAAGATTAAAATATCTCTAAAACAAGCCGAACAGTAACAAGCAAAAAAGAGTAAAACAACTTTATGGGGTTGTTTGTGCTTATTCTTAGAAACCATGTTTTCTTTTTCCTCAGATGATTGGTAGTTATTTAATTTGGTTTCTCTAAAACTAGTGCAATGCAAAATTAATAAATGCTTCTTTGGATAGAAATAATGAAAGATAGTTAAAATGAAAACTAAAGAAAACTAAACTACTGGGCTCCAACAATGTATTAAAATGTGGCATATAACATTACCATATCTATAAAAGTATTTGCGCAGGATTTCAAACTTAACGCATCTAAACTTTAACCTGTATTAAGGGTGTAAATAGATTTATTCCAAACAGTAGACAGAGTCAATTCAAATCTTAGCACGGTTCAATGTGCCCCATGTGTCTCAGGAAACTTGCCAGTTTTCCAAATCTGTCTAACAGACTTTCTCTCTTAAACAATATTTTATAGTCAAAATTGTGGGCAAATTAGTCTCATAATTATATAAAGTATTACATTGTTGTGCAATATACAGGGATAACCAATCTATTACGCAATTTTTATTCAAAGGTGTCTGCCTTTTATCAAAAGGAGGTAGAAAGATGGAGTAGGGGGAGGCTGAAAAGGAATTTGTGCTAAAGTCAATGATTTTTTTTTGTTGCTTCTAAGCTTGTTTATACTGAGGACTTGGTTCAACGTCATTGACACAGTGCAGTCATCTAAAATCTCTCAGACAGATACAACAACCCTTATATGGTTAAAGTGATTATGTTGCATTGTGTTTTCACACGACTAATTGGAGTTTAAGCAGTTAAATCTGAGGCTGTGTCCACACGGACCCGCTGCTTTGAGAGTTTGTAAACGATCATGTTTTAAACTGGATCCTATTGTGGAAACATTTCTAAGCACCCTTTTTGTGTTTCAGTCGGTACAGGAAAGCTTTGTCTTTTCTGAAACTATGAAGACATGGCTCCATCTCTCTGTAGACTGCATGTGTCTAACTCTTAAAAATAACAACAAAAATCCCCCCCCAGCTGTCTCAATCAAGCTAAGAAACAATAGGGATTGGTAGTAGCATTCTCAGATTCTTCCTCTACATGGTATGACCTATGCCAACCCCCACAAACGTAAGTTCAGTAAGTGTTTTTCACTGATCCACACCATATTAATTTGTTTACTTCACATATGATTTCTGTGCATGCCTGCTGTTTATTGCAGGTTTCTGTAACAGTGTTAGAGCGCCACTAATGGGCCTGGCATACCTATTACAGCATTTCCTTAGCGGTGCTGTATAATCCCTTGTGGACTCACATTTGTTTCTTAGTCATTTATGAAAAATGTACTTTCTGCAACCTTGAGTGGATGCAGTCTTCATCAAACTATATAACTGGTGTCTGTGGGAGTAAACTGGACTGACATGAACTATATTAGATTCATATAATTGGTGCATCAGACTCCAGTGTGTTTTAGGTGATTTGTTTTTGGAGTTTTTTAAATCAAACTTAATTTAACTGAGTCGATTACAACCACAGGACAAATGTGCAATCTGCCAACAAAAAGAAATCGATCTTATTTAGGAGACACAAATTAATTGAGCTACATTTACAGTTTATCTGCTTCACAAAGCCTCAATTTCTTTTACGTAACACACCGAAACATAATAACAAATAATTGTAAAGCGGAGAACAATTTGAGAATGATGTTCAGCCTCCGACCCAGTCTTAAATCATTTGTAATGTCTGTCCGATTCTCTTCATGACAGCCCAGTCTTAGCTCTACATATCATTTCATCAACCACAGATTTATGGATGTATTTTGTTTGTCCACCATAGCCTGTAAATGTATAATCTCAGAACCCTAAATAAACTGTATCATGTCTGAAATTTTAGCGTCACACATTAAAATGAAAGATAATCAGGGTCCAGCTGCGCCGGAAGCCATGAGGTTTATTTTTCTCTTCTTTCCTGCCTTGACATACAACTGCAGGCAGGTTTAACAGTGCAATGTGGGCCCCTGATGATATACAACCTCAGCAGGCCCAACCCCCCCACACCCCCCAATCTACCCCATTTAGGAGCCTATAATGACATATGTGGCTGAACTAAAAAGCAGCGCTAAAACCTATCCTGCTAAAGTACAAAAGTGAGTTTAAAAGTGATCATAGATATAATTCTGATTCTACTTGAACTAATTGGATATTATTTAACATGGTGAATAAAAGTCTAAATCTTAACTTTCAGGCGGTCTGTGCTCTCCCTTCTTTTCCTGCCTCTCTAAATCTGAAAATTATCTTTAATCCAATCTGCACTCTAAGAATGGATTGGTTGGAAAAACATCCACTCTAGAAGGTGAAACCAACTTTGGTTAGATTCACCGATATATTGGTGAGAAACTGACCAAGGATCAACCAATTAAATCAACTAATAAAAATGGTAACTGATGGTATACTACTCTGGCTATTTGGCTGTAGTAAATTGCTGTGTGTAATAGTTATGGAACTTGAGAACAATTATAAGGATGTGTACATGTACAGGATGCAAATCTTGGCTTTCATCTTACATTAGTATTAAGTATTAACAAATTCCAGAAATCATTAGTAGGGACATTGGGATTGGATGCAGAATTTAGCCTTATTTCGCCTTTCCATGTCCTGGCTTTCAATGTTGTCATCAACCAAAATTTTAGTCAAACTGACCAATTTATGTTGGATTTTCCCTTTTACCAATTTAGATGGGTTAAAACAGTACCAAATTAGATTGGTTTGTTTTAACCAAAAGTTTGGTTGGACACATAACTACCAACCAGATTGGTCAAATCCAGCCAATTTTTTGGTTGCATTTACCAAACTGTTTTTAGAGTGTGAGACAAACGCTTCTTCTGCTTGTAATTATAAAGGTACATGAGGCAGGATTAGCTCCAAACAAAAGAAAAGCATGATCTGGAAAGCTTCTGTCACAATGAAGCAGTGAACGGACTCATCCTGAAGGTTCTTAGATCAAAGCCTTTATGTTTTTATTTTTTTCCTGTTATCTCCCGATTCTTTCTGTTAAGGAAATGATTACGTTGCGCGTAATATGCAACATCACGCGTAATCGGAAAGAAATAACTATACAGAAACGGATTTGAGCCAGAAAACTGTTTCTGCTGTAAAATCATGACAAGAGATTATTTTTATAGCTGCACAATAACCCAATATTAATCCCACCAGTGCTTTACGATTGAAAGGAAGCGCAACATCCCGTCCTTCCAAAAACACTAAAAATATCCAGACAGAAAAAGACACCAGACTACAATGATCTTTAAAAAAAAAAACTAAAATAACATGTAATTCAAGACAAAAAAAAAGTTTCCTTTTTTCTACTTCAGACAAAAAAAGCATAACGCTAATACTTCAAATGTTAAACTTTTTGCGCATCCTAATCTGTTTTTTTTTTTTTTTTTGCCCTAATCTCCAGGGGCATTTGTGCATGAGAGGATAATCGCCGCAAAACAACGGGGATCCAGAAACAAAGGTCTCAATCAAAGCCCGCTTACGTCCAAATTGTAAGATTAATGAATAAAGCAATACCTTGCAACAGTTTGGAGCGCCTTAGCGTCGAGGAGCCCAGCAACTTGAGACGGGATATATATGCCCCAGAGTGGAATATTGAAATGTGGGGCTTGTGAGGGGAAAAAGGAAAAAAGTGAAGGAATTGCCCGGTTTCAGGGAGGGGAGGGGACACAGAGAGGGGCCGAGGAGGGGGGGGGGGTAGTAAAGGACTGCAGGACAAACCCACATTCCTCAAGACTCCTGGAGTTGTTATAACAAGGGGCCAAGCAGCTAAACCCACTGGCTGACATGGTTTCACTATCATCATCTGGAGAGGGGGGGGCAAAACTCTCCTCCAGGGTAACCCACTGATGTGATAACAGTGGGATAGAGAGCAATCTTCTGCTTATATCATTTACCATCAAAAAATGCAAAATAAGCCCTTTTAAAACATGGTTTATTTAGTCCAGTAGCTGGTTGGATTCGTAATCCTAATTTCACAGTTAAATGTGCTTTCTGCTGTTCAAACAGTCTGTTTACTGTATCAACTTTGCAGAGATTCGTGTGATTGACACATTCTTGTCCTTTATTGCCACAAGAGCTGATGGGTAGCTAACACAGAGACAGTGACCATCTGTGTTGTATACAACTAAGGACAGCTGAGCACATTTCAGATCTTGCTGCAAAGCTAGAAGAGTGAAGAGCTCCAGATTAAAACTCCCCTCACCTTTAATATATTATCTTCTGTTCTTAATTCAGCAATTGAAAACAAATACAAAGAGCAATAACCTTGCTTCTTTGGCAATATGTTCAGCCTTGTAAAACATGGGGTATCAGCAGGCTGGAACTGGTAATCTTTGATACGGACATTTGCCCGGTGGGCCGGTCCTAATTTCAGCGTGCGAGGGCCGGCCCTCCTTAAATCATACCAGCCCCGACACTTACTCTCCAGCCAAAGCACCTACCTGTGACAATAAATAACTCAAGGAGCTCAAGAAGTAATCCAATGATAAATACCTATATAGCCCTTCCTTGTCATGCACATCCTTGTGACGGTTGGCATATGGTATAATTTTCTAAACTGTAACTTAAAACTATAAAATCCTGTTTCTTCATTCTGTAAAATCCTTACAAAAACTAAATTCTAATAAAACTAAAATGCTTTCTTTAAACCAAACAACAATGTTCCTCTTATATTTGGCGAATTTATGTTCAAATATTTTGCAAAAATATGTAACGCTGTATGATGGGGTTTTGCACGTTTCCCGTCTAACCCGGCAGTTTAGGATGGCCGTCTATGGGTAAAAAAAATGTTTTTCTGTAGATTTATGGCCTGAGAGATCGATAGTCTTTGGTTCAAGTTGGGCGAGATTTCATATATCCAGGCGGTTTATGAAAATGTTTTGGGCTAGAAAACGTGAGTCAGTGACGGCGCTGTATGGGTGAGTGGGTGTCTGGCTGACTTTGTGCAAGTGTGGATGTTACCCAGCAGTTGGGGGGGTGTAAGTGGGCCGGTGTAGATGGAAAAATGCCAGAGCCAAAAATCGTTCCCAGTCTGAGCCTGGATATCAGTATCATGATGTGGGATGATGTTCTGTAGAAAGGACATGCATTTGGCCAGAGCCAATTCTGAAGGACAACCTGTTAGTTCCTGCAACAACAACAAAAACTAAACCCCACATATACAGACAGAGTGAGAGCTATTCAGAACTAAGCATAGGCATGTAAGAATGATCTAAACCTTAATATTTGATGCTGATAAACACGATACATCGACTCCTCCTCTTATTCCGATTGCAGGTACAGCAGGTCCAGGAAGGAACCCCAAGTATTCTTCTCCTGACCCTGCTAATACTGGGCTTTCCAAAATGTTCCAAGGCCAAACAGTGTATATATTTTCCTTTGGGGGTTTGGGCTCTTTCCTAAGGTCACCTACCAAAGAAATGGGCTAGGAAATTCTCCAAAGGTGCAAACCAAACAATGGCTCTACTATAAATAATCTAGTTTTGGCATCTTTGTATCCAGGATCTCTAGGTTCTTTTGGTTGTGTTCCATGTCTGATGACCATAAATGAGGGTAGGAATGTACATATACTGTATATGGAGCAGTAAATTAACAATTTAACTTTTTCGGCTCAGTTAATTGTTCACCTTAACAAACCTTAATAGTGCTCTCATTACTGCAGCCAAAGTCCAAGTTGTCTATCCATCTCTTGTTCCATCCTTTTCATTAAGAA